AAAAAATCACTAAAACCTTTTATGACTTTTATTAGATTTAAATGTTATATTTGCAGTTTTTATCTAATGTTATAATGTAATATATATATTCAACTAAAATTCAATAAAAACTGAAAATATAAAAATAAAATCTAATTAAAATAATAATAAAAACCCTATAATATACTAGTTGGGGGGATCAAGGTCATAATCTGCATCACAAATGTTGTTTGGTATTGATTTCTGGGTCACCATGCCAAAACCCACACAGATGTAACCCTACCCCTCGACGTGCTTAAATTAAACCCCTTGCACAGCCTTCTTTTGTTGTCCTAAACTCAACAGAGTAACAGCGATTGTCAAAGATAATCTCTTATTTGAGACTGAACTAGTTTCAGAGCTTACAATGTAAACACAAATGAGCCCATATACATTCACTCGATAATTTGATGGCTAAAACTTCCAACGACCCACACCGTCGCCGCCGCGTGTTTGTCATTTCGCATGTCCATAAACACCCCCACCCCCAATTTGCAGAGTTGGAAGACTTTTCAAATACCATTAAGAAGATTAATCCTGTGAAATGCTGATTAAAAATGTATTCAAAGCAGAAAACAGGGCTGGAATAATTCTCTCGGCACATGCGGAAAGTCAGAAACGCACTCCAGTAAATAATTACGGGCAGGGAGGTTAACATGCCGCCGATGGAAAACATAAGCCCTACCAAGTTGAAGACCAGAGTGGCGAGGAGTTGGCCAATTTATTTTGCTGCTCACTTTCCCCCTAGGTCAGTAATGGAATGACATAAATTGCACATAATTGTTGCACGTCCTCCACAGGGGGGAAAAAGCACATGATTTGGAGGTGGCTGACCCTTTCCCTGATAGCCCATATTGGAAGAGGTGAGAGGTTATCTGGGATAGTACAAATAGCTTGTCTGTGGGCCTGTATGGGAAAGGTTGTTATGGCAGTTTTGGCTCTAAAACAAGACAACATTATGACTCCAACACTGGCCGTCGAGTCCGGCTCCGGGAATGGTGTTCCTGACCGAGGGACAACAGAGATGGACCATATGGCCGACAATTTACAATAATCTAGCGATATTACAGATGTACTTTCAGTTTCTCCACCCGTCCATTTCTCTTCCTCTCTGTTCCTCCTTTAATGTGCGCGGACCTGCTACCGTCTAATTCCTAAGCTCTCGTCTTTGCATTAGTAATTAAAAATGAAATACTAGCCCAGATGCAAAAGTAGGAAAGCCCTGTCACTCTGGGTTAGACTTCGGATTTAAGGCTGGAATCAATTCAATTCAATTTTTTTTTCCTCCATAGTATTATGTTTTTAAAGAGCAAACTGCTGCATTAATTGTAATTAAATGAGATCTTACGGGAAAACGAGGAAAGAGTTTTGAGCTCTCTGAATTAAACAGATGATATTTTTGAATGGCATTTCTAGGAAATGCAGTTCTACAAACATGATCCTTCTATTTTTATTAAAAATGGATTTATATAAATTATTTTGCATCTAGCTTTCTGGCATACAATATTCCCTAAACAACACATGTCTTATTTACATGTTTTCCTGTGAAAATAATTGTTTTAAAGGCCAGTTGTACAGTTTGTTTTGATTACAAAATCTAAAAATGATATGCATCCTGATGAAGATATTTTCACTTTTGTTTTTTTTCTTCAACAAATGATCAGTGCAGGTGCACAACCTTCCAAAAATATTTTCCCATTAATTTTATATGAGAAAAATTGTGGGATACAATGAATTGAATGTTTTTAATTTAAAATAATATAAAATATTATAACAGTTTTAGATATATTAACAGATCACCATTTAATAGTAAAGATACTGACAATTGATACATTTAAACCTAGCTCCATTTCATGCTAGTTTAATTAAAAATTAATTTTATAATAGTTTTCAAACTTATCTAATAGTTCTCACTGCAAAAATGGGACTTTATTTTCCTATTAATTTTATGAGAAAAATTTCTAATTTAAAAAAAAAATATTAACAAATACGGTTTTTAATTAAAAATATTTTTCAGGTAATAATTGAAAATTTTTCAATATATTAACAGATCGCTATTTTATAGTAAAGATAAAGACATTTGATATGTTTAAAGTAAACCTAGCTACATTTCTTGCTAGGTTAAGTTAATTTCAATTTTGTTTAATTTTATAATAGTTTTCAAAGTTATTTCACACACACAAAAAAAGTGACTTGTAATGCTTTAGAAAAAAATCCAAGTGTACCCTATTCATGGAAAGGGCATACTAGATTTCTATTAACTCTATTATTTAATGAAATAAAAAAGAGATTGTGTGTGAAATGTTGATACATTTAAGTGTAAAGTAAAACCTTTTTGTTCAATCTAAATAAAAACATTTGGCTGTCATTGTTTTGGTGGTGTCTTACTTCATCTCTGGCTCTTCTTTGTCCTCTTTGCTTGGCGTGAGCTTCAAGCTTCCTTTCCTGGCACGAGGGCACCCTGACAGACTGGGAAGGAACATGACATATGTGACGAACCTTTCAGAAGTTCAAGCGTGCAGACGTGTGTGTGGGAAAGATACGCTGCGTTTACTGCGTGATGTTTCAAGCTTCGACACCTGTCGTGTTATCACTGAACAGGGGTCATTACCTCAACAGCCGTGAAATGCCACAAAGTATTTACTCTTTGCCGATTACCCGGTTTTAAATGCAAATTATTTAACCCACTGAGTGCCTTTGTGTGGCCTGATGTCTAAAGTCTATTATAGTATAATGTTAAAAATGAGACATTGTGTTATAATGAAAAGCATGGCCATTTATGTCATGCAGAAACATCAAAAAATATCACTACATTTTCATCTTTCATTGAAGTCTAAGATTATTTAGTAGAGATTTCCTATTTAATGAGGCTTACCTCCTATGAGATGCATAGTTTCCTGTCACATGACCTGAGCCGTCACAGCCAGGAGTTGGGCACCTTTAAAATAGATTGAAATTTATGTCAATGATACAAATTACTATGATAAATATTAGATGAATAAGTCGTGTGTGTGTGTGTGTATATCATGATAAGTTTATACAATATAATAATAATAACAATAACAATAAATATTTACATTATTCGTTACTTAATATTAAACATATTCAATATATATTATATTCACCATATTCATATTAGATTAATATTATACATATTTATTATATTAATTATATGTATGTACATAAATATTCATAATAAATTCATATAATAACAATAACAACACCAACAATAATAAATATTTATAATTATAATACAATTATAATAATAGTTGCTAGTTATAGTAATTCATAAAATATATATTTTCATAATAATAATTTATATAATAATAATGACAACTCCAACAATAATGATAAATATTATATATAAAATTACTATATAAAATGTGTATACAGTTATAATTAGTTATTAGTTAGAATAATTAATAAAAAAAATATTTTTTTACATTTACTTACATTATTTCTAGACATTAATTCTCTGTAACTTTAAAATCATTTATTATTTTTATTTAATTGAAACTTTAATTCAAGCTAATTCTTACTTGAGCTCTTGAGAACTAGCAGCCATTAGTGATTTCAGGGTCTTATCGGCCAATGGGCAACCGGATACACTACAAAAATGAAAAAATAAAATAAAATAAAAATACCGGAGACATAATGTATATTATTTTGAATATTAATGTATATTATTAAGATTGTTTTGCTGCTTGAAAAATAAAGAGGGTGAAAAATATGGGCGGGGCTTTTTACCTTCTATGTGACGCATAATTTCCTGTCACATGACCACTACCATCACAACCTGGCGTTGGACAACTGCAAAGAGAAAAAGACCAGATGAATGCACACAGCCTATGATTTCTTGATCTACTATACATGCTCTAATTAGTAACAGGGTCTTTTGCATGCTAATGCGTGACCCAGAAACCCCGAAACAGAATGAAGATATAAAAACAGCAGTCCATATAATGATATTACCTCATCAGCTCTTTCTTGTTGTCTCTTATGAACATCTTGTTTTTTGCACTTGCCATGTTTGCATCACCGTTGTATGCTTTATCCTCGAGGGACGCCTTATCCAACTGATCCATCTACAAGACACGGGACAAAATGCCAAAACATTGTGCAATTTTCCAAGAAAAGTCGCGATGGTCACTTCAAAACGGCATTCTGTAAGCACACACGCACACTAATAGTCTGTGAGAGGTTTGATGCTGCTTAAGTATACTTAGTAAAACATATATCCATTTAAACTCCAGTATAATCCCTCGTAGTATTTATGATGAGTGTAAAACCTTTGGATTTACTTACTTTTTTTCTAAGGTAAGTATCTTTGAGCACCAGATGTCAGATGGAGAATCAGACAAACATACAACTGTCTGGGTTTGTTCTTTGACGCCAAAGAGGATGAAAAATTGTCGGCTTTTCAGGAACATTCTTCTGCAATTTCTTTTTCATTTTGCTTTCATGTCATAGCAGCGCATCACAAGAGACAGTGTGCCTAAAGTCGTGGCTGACTAACCGAGATCATTTAGATGAATAAATAGAAAGTTACGGGTTTTAAGTTAAATATGTTCTTAATGTAGCATACAACAAAGTCAAAGAGCATTTAGACACTGAATGTGGTTTCCTCAGGACCTTATTAGGTTACACTTTATTTCGATAGTCCACTTTAGACATTCTACTAACTATAAGTAACTTTGTAACTACATGTCAACTACATGTCAATTAATTCTCATTAATTTGCAACTACATGTCTACTAACTCTCAGAGTAGACTGTTAGGGTAGGTTTAGGGTTAGTAGAATAAGTTGACAAAGAAAGTATTAGAAGATATTAAGCAGACAGTCTACTAATACTCTACTAACTGCTAGTTGACATGTAGTTGCAAAGTTACTTACTGTTAATAGAATGTCTAAAGTGGACTATCGAAATAAAGTGTTACCCATTATTATAATTAGATGTTATTCATTTTCCACCCAATTCTATTAGCTTCATACAGTACCGCTCAAGATTTAAAGAAACAAATAAATGCATACTTTAATTCAGCAAGGATGCATTAAACTGATCAAAAGTAACAGTAAAGTCATTTATAATGTAATAAGAGCTCTATTTAAAAAAAATATTATCTATTATCCTAAAAAGAAATGCATGACAGTTTCTACAAAAACATTAAGCAACTTTTTTCAACTGTTTTCAACATCGATAATAATAAGAAATGTTTCTTGAGCAGCAAATCAGCATATTAGAATGATTTCTGAAGGATCATGTGACACTGAAGCCTGGCGTAATGATGCTGAAAATTCAGCTTTGCATCACAAGAATAAATTACATTTTAAAATATATTCAAATAGAAAACAGTTATTTTAAATTGTAATACTATTTTGTAATATTACTGTGCTTTTGATCAAATAAATGCAGCCTTAGTGAGCATTAAAGACATCTTTCAAAAACATAAACAAATCTATATGATGCATTAAGGAAAAAAAAGAAAAGTGCCTCTATCTCACCTCTTTGTCTTGTTGCACAGGTGTTTTGCTGTAGTTCAGCGGCGTGTCCCAGGCGTCCTGTTCGTAGAGGACGCGGTAGATTGCCGGGGAGATCTGGAGACCCGCTGCTTTGGCTAGAGAAGGTTCAGGTGGGGTGAAAAGGGCATCTCCTAATGCCGGCATCACAGGAGAGTCCCTCGCCTTTTCTCTCTTTTTCTTCATACTTAAATCCAGCGTTCCATTCTCGTCTACCTCTATCAGTGAATCCTGAATGAAAAAGGAACATAAAAAGCCTTGTTGATAACCAACCTTTGATAACCAGAGCAGTTTTCCAATAGAAAAAAATCTATGAAGGCCAAAAAATCTACACTTCTATCATAGTTAGGGTTAGAGACTTGAACAAACCCCTAACTGTGAATCTTACAATTATGTGTATAACTCGTCCAACCTTATGTGTTACTGTCATAAACGATACCTCAAAATGTGTGGATTGTTAGTGTGGCGAGTTTTTACTTTTCTCACCAGTTAAACTTACAATTTTTGTATTGCAGACAATAAAATGTTTTAAAGAAAACATCTCAAATAGAAGCAGGGCCGGATTTACACATAGGCATTCTAGGCGCGTGCCTATGCTCGCTCGTCCAGGGGGGGCCCAAAAACAATGAAGAGATATATAATATTTTTGTTATACTATGGGATATCTACAACAGTAAAACAACCAAAACCCTAGAAGACACTGAGCAAATAAATATAACAAACAATAGGGTAAAAATGACAAACTATTTCCATGTCTTCAACCTTTTTTATGTACGGAAATCACGCTTTCTTTCTCGTGTTCTCTCCCACAGGCGCACACAGTAGTTAGTTACAGACACGCACTCGCGCACACATGCAGAGATGCGGACAGAAACATGTTGTCAGAGCTGCGGCTGCCCCGCAAATTTATCAATAAAATAGTTTCGCAGCTGAAAAGCTACATGACATTTCTCAGTAGCGAGGTTCTTGAAGCAGTTCAACTTAAAGATTCGCTATTAGTAGACGCTGCTGTAACGGTTTCACTGATTATGAAATATTTTGGTTTGCTTGGGTGGTAATATTAGGCATATTATATTAATAGGGAAGGGGGGCCCAAAATTTAGTTTTACCTATGTCACGAAAAGAGGTAAATCCGGCCCTGAAAAGAAGAAAATATCAAAGGGACTTGGATGGAGTTTTTTTCCAATAAATGAATACTATTATTCAGAAAGAGCATTAAATTTATCAAAAAACATTATTATTTTCAAATAAATGTTGTTCTTTTGAATGTTTTACTCATCAGAAAATCCTGAAAAAAATGTATCATGGTTTAAGCAGTACAACTGTTTTCAACCCTGACAATAATAAGAAGTGTTTCTTGAGCAGCAAATCAGCATATTAGAAATATTTCTGAAGGATAATGTGACACTGAAGACAATTCAGTGAAAATTCAGCTTTGCATCTCAGAAATAAATTTAAAAATTAAATGTATTCAAATAGAAAAAAGTTATTTCATAATATTACTGCTTTTTTGTATTTGTGAGCATAAGAGACTAATGTTAAAAACATTTTTTAAAAATCTGCATGTTTTTTTTTTTACTGTGAAGGAGTAAATTAAGTGTTTGAATATTACACCATATCTTATTTTCAGATGATTAATAATGTCAATTTCTATTAAATATATGTAGGTTTTCTAGTTAATGGACATAGATACGGTTATTTATTAATTCATTTTTCTTCCATTTTTTTTTCCCAGTGCCAGGTGGATTCTAGATGTCAGCCAAAATGGTTTTAGGTCACAATCATTAATGGCGAGTTTAAAAGCTCTGTGTTGCTTAATATCATAACTTTTATCACCAACAGATGTGCTGGTGTATGAATTTGTGTTATAGCGATACGTTTTTATGGAGCTCGTTAACTGCTTAAAAACGTGACACACCAATCATTCCACACACATTTTGCACAGCAGCAAACAAAGGAGGGCTCTAATCACAATAATTCAGATTACAAACCAAATATGGCTCTTTCTCGAACCAGCTAGAATCGACCAACTGCGCACCTATCCAGTTCATCCCTGCGCACGATGTGAGTTTTTCTCATCTGATGACATTCTCTCCAGCCTCAGAAACCAGTGAGGTGACATCTTTCTCCCACACTCCCTATGAAACGCTGCAAGACGATAAGCCGTATTCTTAGCAAAAAAAACAAGCGACTTGGCACAAACAGGGAAATCGAGATACTTAACATGCATAAAGACATTTCGACGCAGACATCAGCAGATGACAGATCGACTAACACTGTTTTATTCATTCGCTCAGCTTGTACAGTATACCTGCTCTCTGCCCACTGAGTGCTGGGACTATGAACGGCCTGTGTGGTGTGTAGGTGTGTGAAGCGTTTCATGCCATACTTCTGCGAGTTTCTCTCAGTTTTATCTCTCCGTGTCTAAGAGGAAGACCTGCTTTGACTGAAGTTATCAAACTGTGGGATATGTACCTAATTATTACTAAAATATACAGCATTAGGATCCTGGACTGTTGTTTTATTATGCCAACATATAAGAATAGTTTACATTATTCACATTAAATTACCTTATTTTTTTATAAGAGTGTTTATAAGAATTTATATATGCAAGTATTATTAATAAATAATTTTTATGTATATAATTTAAATAATCCTTTCTGTATGTAAATATTATTAATACATTTTTTAAAATTAAATAAAAAAGATTTTTATAGTTTTACAAAGAGAGAAAGCCAGAAGACTTTTCATTTTTATATTTAATAGCTCATTTTTATGGCACTTTCCACTTTTTTTCTGAGAGAAAAGAAGAAATAATACGGGAAATGTTGCAGGCCAGATTCGAACTTGCTTTGCCCATAACCACTAGGCCATGACTCCAGCATGCTTTTTAAATATATTTTGACTGTTTTTACCATTCTTATTAATATACGTGTATCAACAGTTTGTTTTTCTATTAAAAGGGGGCTGAATATTCAAAAAATATAATATACTGTACATCAAAGGTATCAAACTGGATGGATCAAACAATATGTTATGTTTCTAATTATTACTAAAATACACAGCATTAGGATCCTGTAGTGTTTTTTTTAATAATGTTTTCTTTTATTAAATTTTACTATGCATTTTGATAAAATTACGAGTTCTTATTTTTAATAAGAAGCTAGTTTCAGGAATGTATATTTATGATTATAATAGCTCACTTTTTTGGCATTATTCCATTTTTGTCTGAGAGAAAATAAGAATACAGGAAATGTCGTAAGCTGGACTCGAACATGCTTTGCCTTTATGCACTATGTTTCTGTTTTCCATTTGATAGAAATTATTGAGAGTAGCATTATTTACAGTGGGGCAAAAAAGTATTTAGTCAGCCACCAATTGTGCAAGTTCTCCCACTTAAAAAGATGAGAGAGGCCTGTAATTTTCATCATAGGTATACCTCAACTATGAGAGACAAAATGAGAAAAAAAAATCCAGAAAATCACATTGTAGGATTTTTAAAGAATTAATTGGTAAATTCCTCGGTAAAATAAGTATTTGGTCACCTACAAACAAGCAAGAGTTCTGGCTCTCACAGTGTCAATAGTTTGTTTTTCTATTAAAAACAAGGCTTAATTAAAGAGCATAACTGTATCATAACAACATATCAATTTTCACACTATAACATACATAATCTGGCGGCCTGTGTAGACTTTCCTTATTTCATTTAAATAAAAGAGTGATGTCTATTAATCCACAACCAATTGATATAATCCAACTTCTCATAGATCGTCTGTTAGAGATCAACGCCAAAGGATCTGTACAAGCTTATCTAGGATAATATATTACTTAGCAAAATGTCTTCGACCATCTGCACTGAAAAAAAAACAAAACACACTCTCTCTCCTGCAAACAAGAGAAAGACCCAACATTACCATAAGCACAAGCAGAAATCAAATGCACGGCCACATGTTTTACAAAAAGCCTTATAATTGTCATAGAGAAGGAAGCTGTGATTGTATTCCTCCCAACTCTTTTTGATGTGATTACACAAATTCTCCTTTGTGTACATTAAAGCTTTAGCGGCAGTGTAGGTAAAAGAAAAAAAAAAAAGCTCCCACTCTCTTGTTGTTGTGCCACCAGAGGAAGCACAGTTCTCTGTGCCAAAAAGTGTCTTTTGATGTTACTCCTCTTTTTCATACACAAATCACAGTCGTTTCAGAATGACCACATTAAATACCTTTTTCTGAGTGGTCTAATTTGATTACCTTTGTGGATGATGCCAGGGGCCGGCTGGGGGGCAGGGCCTCGCCGTTGTCTCGGCAACGGGTGGAGAGGTTGAGGATGGCTGCAGATGCGATGTTGGACTGGAGGGCGTTGCTTTGGGCTTTATGGCGACTGGGGCTGTTGTCTCCGGCCATGATCATATGACCTCCGGGACCCAGAAAACAGGGGAACTGAGCGGCTGGAAATGGTAGGCACAGTTAGTACTTTTTTTTTATTATACACATATTGAACATATTCTTAACAAGCAAATGGCTTTCTACACTGTATTTTAACCAATAATTACACAAAAAGATCAATATAAATCTCTCTTGTGCTCTCTCTCTCTCTAAATATATAAAATCATTATTATTAATATCATTTATATATATATATATATATACTTTTTATTATAGATTTAGTTATAGATTAATTTATAATATACATGTTTAATTTGAATAATGAATATGTAAATATGATTAATAAATAACAATATTTTATATATTTTATACATTATATTATTAAAATCCTAAAGAAAATTTCAAATTACAGTGCAAAATAGAGTAACACAGCTTTTTCTTTGGGTCAAATTGCGAATGTTGTCAACTGCTAATGTTATTATTAAACCACTCATCATTTCATTTTCCCTAATTTCACATCCCCGCTGCTAAATATCTATGCAAATCTGCTTACAACGAGCAAGCAGGATTGTAAAGAAATTAATAGTGTTTTTGAGTATAATTTACTTTTGAGTAAAACCATAAAAAAGCTTTTGTTACTTGAAATAAAATAAACTTTAACTGAAATAAAATATTTAGTTCAGCTAGTTCAGCCAAGGCTACATTTCTCATTTTCATTTAGTGTAACTTGATGTACTAAAATAACTAAAACCGATAATAATAATAATCATAAAAACTATGGACGCTCATTTATGCCATGGAATAAATTTTTTTTTTTTTTTTTAAAGGTAATAGCGACTTTTTATCTCACAATAATGTCAAAATTGTGAGATAAAAACAGAATTCTGAGATATAAACTCAAAGTTTATATATATTTTTTCCTCAGAATTGTGAGAAACTAATTCTGAATTGTGAGATAAAAAGTCGCAACTACCTTTTTTATTCCATGGCAAAAACGGGCTTCCATAAAAACTATATAGACATATTTTTAAAAAATAACAAAAAATAAAATGACAAAAACACATAACAAAATTACTAAAACTTTAAATAAAAATGAAAACCGTAAATATAGAAATAAAAACTAATTCACAATATTAATAAAAACTCTAATAATATCTTAATGATCCTAAAATAACACTGGTATAATCCAGTTGTTTTCTGACCTTCTATGCGTGCTACGGTTACTGTTGACATGACCTCTTCCTGTACAGCCAGGTGTCGGACACTTGAGGACGTTTTCATGCATGGCGAGGACTGTTAAGATACAACAGAATAATGTTTAACAAAAGAACAATTGTACAATAAGAATGGACGTCCCATTAAATAAACAGTAATTCAGCATTTTGTGTTATTCACTTCTATTGCAGCTGTTTCAACTTTTCATGCTAAATAAAGTTTCCCATGCCATTCTTTGCAACTTAAAATGGTCTCTCCCTTCAAATATGAACATGCAAAAACATCATGACTACAAACGCATTTTGATTACCATTTAAGAGAGACGCACATATTGTTGAAGTACTATCCTTAGTAACTTTTCAGTCTGTTCATAATTAGTTTGGAGGATGTGCCCGTCTATTTAGGCTGCATGCGCAGGTCCTTTGATTTGCAGAATGCTGCCTCTGGTTTATGAGTACATGCTTTCATATTGGAGGAAAAAAAGGGGAAAAAACGTAATTACATTTTCTGTTCCTTTTGTCAAATCACTGTTTAATGGCGAATGTTTGTTGTGCTACTCTCAAATGGAGAAAACAGCAAGTGAAAAGTTGTTTCCAGAGTGCATTTTTTATTTGCCTACCACAGGAAATCAAACCTCACTTGTTTTGATGACGAAACATTTTTTTGTTTACAGCTTAAAAAAAGGTTTCTACTGGAAAGCTCAAGATGAGGAATAAATACATGAAATGCATCCATGTAAATGACATATTACATGCGTCACGTGTGATTTTTTTAAATTAGAGGCATTTCTGACTAATTGAAATCTTGAAAAATTACACCTCAAATTGTTTAATCTATGTTTATCATATTTAATCGAGTTAATGATTTATGTAATCAGTCTTTTCATCATTTTATCACATCTGCAGTTATAAACAATGTTTGTTTTTTTTTAATTTTGAGGAAAGTTTGGCAATTAGCTTTAAACTTACAAAAATAAAAAGAAATGGACTGCTTCTGAATTAAAATCGTCAAATAGTGACCAGTTTGGTAATGACACCTAATAAAGACAATCACATATCATGACGTAAAAATAACATTAATGACATCATAACCAAATATGATTTTTTTGGGGGGGGAAAAAAGGGGAAAAAGGGGGGGGGGGGATTAAATAAAAATTGCAAACATTAATACCAAATAAGATGAAAATATGATTTATTTTAAAAGCAGAATTTCCCTGGATTTTAAAACTTTTTATAGCTGCAACTGTTGCATTAAATTATAAAGTCTGGCTCAAATTCTGTGAAATTTGGAGTTAATAGTGAAAAAATTTTATAAACTTTTTGTTATATCTATCTATCTATCTATCTATCTATCTATCTATCTATCTATCTATCTATCTATCTATCTATCTATCTATCTATTTTTTTGTATTAAAATATGAAGTCTGGCCAGTCCAAAATATTGAAATTCTGGCAAATGTAACACTTCAGAACTCCTAAAATGAAGGGGCTACAATAAAAATGTAAATTAAAAATACAAAAAGTTAAAGCTAAAATATTTAAATATAATATTTAAAAATGTTCTTAAAAATGTATGAATCTTGCATTTTCTATCACAGAAATAACTGTTAGATATTTTTTGTAGCATGCATTTAAATTGAATACACGTCATGTAATGTCTCTATGCAGAAATGCGCTGAATATAATAGAGGCTGGTTAGTTAAGCAATCACCATGTTATCTTTTGCCCCTCAGTATCTGTACAACTAAACCTTGATCATTAGTATGGCATGAATATTTATGGGCTGAAAATGATCACAGTGTTGTTATCACTAATTGTATTTGTTCTGTTTGTATTGTACTGCTGTGAAGGGAGGAAATGTGTCTAATGTCCTCAGGAAGTGATGCGTAACACGAGAACAGACTCACTCTCTGGGGGCACTCTGACTTTGTGGGGACATCCTGATAGACTCCGGTGATGAGGGTAGAGGCCTGTCACATGACCCGTCCCATCACAGCCCGGGGTCGGACATTTGATGTCTTTCTTTTCTGTCCGAGGGGAATCTATAACACACACACACACACACACACACACACACACACACACACAAACTGTAAAAATAGTGCTCTTCAAGAACGTATAGTTATAGCTGATCCCATCCTGTCACGTTCCTCTCCATGTAAGCCGAAGCGCGTCCTGTAACAGCATGTTGGGTATGAATGTATTCATCCGTGACACTAGTTAAGGCTGCGGTCTTACTCAGGGCACCGCTTTCTTAGCGCTGATCCATTGAGAGATTATCTTCAGAGATTACCCATTAAACAGCAGTCAATGCAAGAATCAAAGTGCTTAAAGCTCACATCAGAGATACTTTACTAGGATTTATGACTTAATTTATGCTCAGGGTAAAATATCTGGCTGATACCGATAAGAATCCAGAGTTTCGTGTTACAGAGATGTCATCAGAAGATTTTCTTCTTGTACTTGTATTTTTTCTCTATAAAACATATTGGTTATTTACTATTAAATATTTTGTTGGCAAATGTTTTTAGCACTTATGGGGATTTTATTTATATATCCCTCTGAGCTAGAATCTCTATATGTATCTTTCTTTTTATGTGTCGATACTGCAACATTACTGCAAAAACGCTTTTTTTTTATTTTTTTTTTCGAATTTCTATCACAATTTCTGTGATAGAAAATGCAAGATTCGTACATTTTTAAGAACATTTTTAAATATTATATTTAAATATTTTAGCTTTAACTTTTTGTATTTTTAACTTACATTTTTATTGTAGCCCCTTCATTTTAGGAGTTCTGAAGTGTTACATTTGCCAGAATTTCAATATTTTGGACTGGCCAGACTTCATATTTTAATACAAAAAAACAGATAGATAGATAGATAGATAGATAGATAGATAGATAGATAGATAGATAGATAGATAGATAGATAGATAGATAGATAGATAGATAGATAGATAGATAGATAGATAGATAGATAGATAGATAGATAGATAGATAGCAAACAAATGACTCTTATAAGCTAGTTCTTTTAGTGAATGAAAACACATGGAACTAACTGTGAGTTACTGATTGGTTGTTCATATGACAACATGTATTTAAAGATAATTAAATTAAGTTAATAAACACAAAACAATACCAAATTTTCATTGTTTAGCATTGTTGTATTGTTATTGGATTGCCTTTATTAGACTTTAGACTTTTATTACCTCTGAAGTCTAATTCTTTTGTAAGAATTGTTTTAAAAGTATTTATTATTGAAATCATCTCTTCGGTTGGCAATGGAAATGCATTTCTTTATCCTAAATATTAATTTCCCTTAGTACTAAAAGAATTGTAAATGAAACCATTGCGGAACCAGGATTTTTACAGAATTCAAACTATTAAAAATCATTGAAAATGTGATGAAGCTCTGGCGAATCTGTTATGAATCTCACCTTTGCTGCTGTGGTACATGGTCTGAGCATCTATCTCCAGCATCCGCTGCTGCCTCCGTTCATGGTTCATCTGCTCCAGGAGGAAGCGGTCCATGTCTTTGTAGGCACTGTGGAGGACCTGTCTATGTTCAGACTGCAGCACCATGGCCTGCTCTAGAAGACTGAGGTTTAGTCGGGCCCTGTCCAGCTCCAGACGTCTGGCCACCAGACCTGGGCCCCAAACACCTCCTCGCTCCTCCATCCTGGGCGTCTGGAGATCCTCCTCACTGTCGCTGAACTCTCTTGCAGAGCCATACTCCTCCATCAAGATCCCTGCACTGTTTCTGTTCATGTAAGCAGAGAGGGCATCTTCGTGCAGCTGCTGTCCAATTCGGAGTCTCTTCATAAGAGTATCGTCTGCAGGTGGACTGGGGCTGTGATGGATCCCGTTGACCTTCGTTAGGGACGGTGGAGTGCTCCATTCTTCTTCATCTGCCTCTGTGTCTGGAGACAGGTGATAACAGGCTCTGATCTCCTCCTGGTTTTTGTCTTCAAAGTCCTGGTTGTGTTCCTCCTCCTCTTGCTCATTCTGGTGTTCAGATATCTGAGCCGCCAGGTTTGGCGAACCTTTACTCGTTTGTTCTAACCATGACAACAAGTGGTGAGACTTTGTGTTGTGATAGATAGTGTCTTCTAGAACATCACCACCATTGAAGTCCTCATCTGAGACACAGAAGAACGGACTGGGCTTAAATTGATGGATCATCAGCAAGAGCTCATTACATGATTGTGTTTGGGAGGAAAATACTAACAGATGGTTTTCAGAGCCTTCAAAATCACAAGTTGTGACAAACATGACAACTTCAGAAAAACATGAAGGGATACACAAAATATAATAAACCCTAAGAAGTAACTAAATACGGGCTTCATCACATTTCAAATGTGACTCTTTGGTCAAACGAAAAACAAGTTCAATTAATAAAATGATTAAATTAATTGAAAAAATGGTATAAAATTCTAAATGAAAAATATTGTCAATAAAACATTATGACTTGAAAAAAACTGTAAAGGGAAGCACAACATATGATAAATAAGAGAAAGATAGATATTTAAAAATGATACAAATGGGAAAATGAGAAAATAAAAAATAGAACATTTTGCATTTTGTTAAGAAAACATTGTGAGAGTTTTACATGTATCCCAAGTGCATAAAAATATTTTTGTTTTTTAAACGCCATCTAGTCTCCATCCAAACTGAAATATATACATAACTTGACCTTAAAAAATAAATAGCATAAAATGTATATATAATTATAAATAAATAAATAAACATTTCCCCTTCTAATTTAATCTTCCATCTGTTCGATTTATGTAACTGTATTGTTTTTAAGTGCAACTTGCTAAAAATGATACATGTACTGAAAAAAAATGTTACCACATCCACAATGGATAAGAGTACATATGATATAAAGCTGTAAACGCTATTCAGAAAGAAGCATGATTTGCTATACTACTGTACCACTTCTGATAAATCCATAAAGCTTATTTGACTAGGGTTTATAGGGTGAATAATTCATTTTTTGACAAATCTCAGACCTTTTATCCCTTAAAATCACCTTTAAAGGACTCATTGGAATCGCTACAGACCCGATTATATTAAGTAATCGAGTCAATGTTTAACAAAAGAATCTATCAGCTGGATTGATTTACAATCCACTACTGATCTCTCTGAAACTTACCCGCCGGGGTTAAAGCGCTTTGGGTACTAGGGTTTAAAGTTCAAAATACAGCGTAAGCTCGAGATACATCTATCCTCTTAGAGAGCCTTATGCCACCCTCCGAACCATATGCAACCACTGAGTTGATTAGATATTAGAGCATTTTGGCTGCCACCACATGCGGTTTCAGGGGCTTCTAATGGGATCATACTGCCTTAACAAACAGTTGCTTGTCTTAAAGAGCATATAAAGTAGTCCTGCTTTTAATCCCCCCCAAAACATCCCTAAATGGGGGATAGAGAGCTCTTGCCAAAAATGGAAACCAGGCTTAGAGTGTGCTTGCCGATTCGTTCATACCATGCCAAACTCCGGCATAATGTCGCAGAGGTCTCCTTTGGCGCTGTACGAATGCGAAGGCATAATGCTAGCGCACAACCTAAATTTTGATTGTGTTTGTGCAGATAATTATAGTTTTTATGCATGCTGGTTGAGGAAAGAGTGGTTAATCTCGTCCGTTTTTATTTTTGGAATTGCATCCAATTGTATGCGTGTCGAATGTTACAGCACTGATTCTTGATAGATGAAATGTGTCCCACACTTTTAAGTCAACATTGATATTAATCAGTGTTCAATAAATGTTCTTTACATAAATGATCCATTTCATCTTAGTTATATGAAGATATGTCACCAAACCAACTTATCATATAGATAAAAAAATATATATAACCGACATGTAAATATGTATGTTTACAAAATGTAGATTTATTAAAAAATACACATACACTGCAAAAAAAATATTTTTTTGTCTTGTTTTTCAGTACAAATATTTTAACATTCTTAAATCAAGATCCATTTACTTAGAAGCAAAGTGACTTAGGATATTAAGTATTGTTTTCTGAAAAATGTATCAAAATTAAGTGAGTTTATGTTTGAAATAGAAAAAAATATCTGCTAAAAATAAAGAAAAATAATCTTGTTTCCCTTTGAATTACGTTTATTTTTTTATTACCCTATTGATAGATTTTTTTTAAGCATAAACTTGATAATTTTTTCAGAAAACAAGACTTAATATCTTAAGTAATTTTCCTTCTCAAGTCAATATATCTTTATTTAAGTATTTTTAGATATTTGTACTGGAAAACAAGACAAAAATACTACGCAAGATTTTTATATATTTTTTACCCTTTAAAATACAGCTTATTGTCCACACAGCTTTCAAATTGTTTATTAAAATATGAATAAAATCAGGCTAGTCTTCATCCTGAATGATTATTTTTCCATATGCTATTATAGCAACTCCAGAAAATCAAAAATAGCTACAAAACCATCTGACTAAATGTGATTATTCTGTCAACACGCCCCATCAGATTTTCCATGAGATGCTGCTGACATTTCAAAAGACAGAGGTGAAAATCAGTTTGAAACTATCCTGTAGTCTCAATATACTCTTAATCATAGTTGAATACTCCATTTATTATAAATATCCAAAATGACAGTACTTATTTTGTTTGTATCTGACGGTATTGACCTGTACAGAGCAATAGGGAAGGAATTTTTTTTTTTTTTGTAAAAATTTGGAAGTAGTAAGAGGTGGCACCAAAACATGAACATACTGAACAGATTTAACTTCAAACGTTAATATTTTTCATTTCTGATCTCAAGAATCAAGCAGGAACAAAAAGCATCTGGAGCCTAAACCAAATGGAATTCCACAGCGAATGCACTTAAAAGCATCCGATTTTCCTGATTTTGTCGCTTTTGTCAGCAGTTTGAGGTGTGAAAACCCAAAGCGGTCCAGCGCAGATGAAAAGTTCGCCAGTTATGCTAAGACACAATTAACAGAGCAGATGATTAGGAGCTCTCTGCCATCCAGATGGAGATACAGCCCTGACCAAAAAAAATTACAGAACAGTGAAAAAAAAAAAAAAAAAGACTGGAGCGAACAAGGGCGAAAAATGCTTGGATGCAGAGAATGGTTTGTGTTTTGGAACAGGTGAATGGTTTATACTCCAGAATAACCATTACCATTGTGTGTATGGAGACCAGAAGCTTGGCTGGAGTCACACACACACACACGCACACATACATAACAGCACCAAATGGAAGCCTTACACCGGTTTAATTTCTCCCCTGCCTTTCCTTTTCCCTTTTTTCTCATGAAATTCACATACCCCTCTCGTCCCCCTACAGATCCATTAATTTCGCTACAGTCCCAGTCGCCATCCACTCCCAGTCACACCCCGCGCATTATGTCTTTAAATTTTTTTTTTCACCAGCACTTCTTCAGTAGATCACTTTGGCAAAGCGCAAAGCAAACATGTTGCAAGACAGCAGGGAAATATGACAAATGAGATTTTCCTACTGCAACTTCAGAAAATAACACAACAAATTCGAAGGAGGAGGAGGGGGGGGGAAAGGTTATGATTATTGTGGATAATATGAAATCAGAGAAACAAATAAATTCCATTTCCAATGATGCTGTTCAATTTATTGAGCTATTTTTTTGTCCATTTAACAACCCACATGTGTCCAATAATGAGCCGCACACATTATGCCTAATTATGTATATTTGGGCTGCATTCGATGGTCTAACAAAAGCTTTCGAAAGGGACAATTACGTTTGTTGCTTGGTAACATCGTTAAAAATATACCAAATAAGTGCAGATTATAGGGGTGTGGAGGTACACATGTAAAGCATGGATATTGTTGCCAACATGCTCATAATTTGATTCATTAGGAAATGGCAGCATTTTGTTTTTAGAAAGGAGACTGTTTTAAAATGTAATATCGACTTTAACGTTTCCGTGCCTTAGTTGCCAAATATGTTTTGTTGTTGGAGTGTATGATCACACTCTTTTGTCAACGAGGCACAATATAATTTGGTGCATTCTATTCTCAGTTACCCTATTTGCATAATTATGCAAGCAACCACACTTGCTTATAAAAAAACACTTTTCCAGGCTGCATAATCAACAAGGCGGCAGCTACTTTAACGCCGCCGAGTTTTTAATCCGGGTTTCAAAGAAGTCGAGCGAAGGAAATCTCCTTAATCTGGACACCGGATGCATGAAAAAACATCCGGGAATCAACTGTCGCGAACTTCCCCGGGACGGCGTGATAGATGAACGTGATGGACGAATAGATGGATGCGGGGAGGGAGGGGGAGAGGAGACGAAGGAGGAGGAGGAGGAGGAGGAGGAGGGAAACAAATATATGAATGCAACAGATGGTAGTTTAAAATTCAGCGTCAATTGTTCATCAAAACAGACAAAACAACAGGACATCTGTCTACCTGCTGGAGTGTCAGTGTTCCTGGGTGCGTCTTTGTCCTGAGCACTTGCCAGGTCTTCCTCGCCGTCCCCCTCGCTGGGGCAGGGACTGGGACTGTAGTGGCGGGGCTTCATCAGGAGCGATTTCCTCTTGTTGACTGGCGCCCCGTGGGCCCCTTCTGCGGACGGCCGCTTTTTACCCGCTCCGAGATGCAAGCTGAAAGCAGAATACAAGGGTCATTTAATGGATGCGTCGTGTCACAAATCAACTGAGTATGTGATTGGTTGAGGTACAAAGATATAATGAATCTGACCCGTGAGGTGGTGGAGTGCAGGTTTTGATTCTTTCAGAGGTCAAAGCTTTGTTTAGACACTTGGAAGTCTTGAAGGTTGTGCCAATATGGACTCTTAAAACTCTTCAACGGTTCTTTAGCAAAGAAAACTCTTGTTATAAGGTCCTTGAGTTGCTATATGATGTTTTAAAGAGTAAAAAAAATAAAATAAATGATGTTCTGATGTTCGTCAGATCAGTGTTTTGGTTCTTTGTGGACTACAAATGCAGCACATTCATAAAATGTGCAAAAAGATGCTTTTATCCGACTACAGTTCAAAAGTTCAGGATCAGTATCATTTATTAAAGTGACAGTAAAAAGTTATGTTACAAAATTCTGTTTCAAGTAAGTGCTGTCCTTTTGAACTTTCTATTCATCTAAGAATTCGGAAAAAAAAAAAAAATGCATTGTGGTTTCCACAAAAATATTAAGCAGCACAACTGTTTTCAACATTGATAATAATCAGAAATGTTTCTTGAGCAGAAAATCAGCATATTAGACTGATTTCTGAAGGATCATGTGACACTGAAAACTGGAGTAATGATGCTGAAAATTAAAGCAATAAGCCCCGTGAAGCCGTGGTTTACAGTGAATTTATAACAGCTAAGGGCATTGTTAGGCACAACGCGAAGCGGATTATAGCTGTTATAAATTCACTGTAAACCACGGCTTCACGGGGCTTATTGCTTTTATAAAACGGTTATTCCATATACGTAGTAAGGTTTCACAAAATAAAACAGAGCAAATAAAGTGTAATGATATTAATAAAAACAGTATTCTTCCACCAAACAATGTAGCTCCTCAGAATCAGTTGTGGTTGCAACAAAGTGGTTGTAAACGTAAACAAAGGTGTGTGTTTGTAGAGTAATTTACAACAGCTTCGAACGCGGCTCAGCCAATCAGAATCAAGGACCGGAACTATCTGTTTTATAATCAGCTTTTTATCACAGGAATAATTTACATTTTACAATTAAATAGAAAACAGTTCTTTTAAATTGTAATAATATTTCACAATGTTACTGTATTTTTTAAGAATTTAAAATAGAATAGACTTCTTTCAAACACATTAAAAATATTACAGACCCCAAACTTTTGAATGGTAAGATGAACAAATTTGAATTGGATTAATAATGGTGTTTCTTAATTCACATTTCTGGTCTTATTGTAAATGATTAGTTGGGACACATTAGTCTAAAGACAAAAATATAATCACTAATAATTCCACCTCTGAACCGCCTTTCCATTTTGGCCTTCTTATTTTTCAATCCCTCTCCTCCGACCACTTATAAGAAACCACTTTTCACCATCCAATCAATTCTCGATGGATCAAATCAAGCCTCGCCCAGCATTTTAGCTCACTGAACATCCTGTTTCACACGAAAAAATATGTCAAGGAAGTAAAATGGGTGGCTTTCATGCTCTTTGGGGCAGCGAGTTTGTTTCAAAACTCATAAGGGCACTATCTGAAATTCCCTGCAAGATGTGACTAAGAAAATCAGAATCGCAGATCCTCATGTGTGAACTTATGTGTGAACACAGAGTCCAAAACACTCAAGCATGAACTGGCTCATTATTTTCAATGAGAAATCTGTTGCTATTATCAGCTATCACGCTGCATAATAAGCAATGATACAGAGAATTAAATGTCTGCTGTAGGCCGATATCATGAAAAAGTTTAGTGAAGCGTCTGACACAAAATGCACAAAGAAGTGCACGAAACAACTTGCACTGAATTAAAATAAATAAAATTTAACGCTGTTTAATAATAAGATGCATGCAAAAGATTAACAAAACTACAGTTGCCCCAAAAAGTATTTAGACACTTAAGTCACACTTGTATGAAAACACAGCAATAAATTATTAAATAAAAGAAAGTAAATATAAGCAAATATATTATATTATATTATATTCAGTATGATATTTTTTTATTATTTCTGAAAGTATTTTATACATTAAATTGATCAAAAGTGACAGTAAAAACTTTCATAATGTTACAAAATTCTATTTCAAATATGTGCTGTTCTTTTGAACTTTGTATTCATGGACGTCTGTTGTGTTTCCACAAAAACATTAAGCAGCACTATTGCATATTAGCATATATAATAGCAAATCAGCATATTAGAATGATTTCTGAAGGATCATGTGACACTGAAGACTGGCGTAATGATGCTGAAAACATGCTTTTTATCACAGGAATAAATTATATTTTAAAATATATTCAAATATAAAACAGTTATTTTAAATTGTGATCATATTTTACAATATTACTGATTTCACTGTAGATTTTTTAAATGAATTACTTCACTCAAAAACATAAAAAATCTTACAGAACCCAAACACTTTTAGTGTGAATTTATATATATATATATTATAGAAAAATCACAAAGTATAAAACACCAAACATTTATTTTAAAGAAAGTCACAAGTTCACTTTTCAAACAAAATAGTTCACATATGATTTAAAATCTGTTTCATATGTTAGTGAATCATGTTCATAGTTAATGAGATAAACTAACTGACTTCATTCAGCCACTAAAAAACCACCAGCACACCAGATTAAAAGACACTGAGCAAAAATTAGAAGAGAAAAGCTCTTGATTTATGTGCAAACACGACTTTAATAGCAATTCTTTTATTTTTAAGTGAGACTTAAGTGTCCAAATACAACTTTTGACAACTGCATGCATGCTGTAAAAGCCGTCAGAAAAACCATAAACTGACACTCGGAAGCAGGTAGTGAACTCTGGCTTACCTGGGCGCCTCAGCAATGCAGTCAGGCAGAACTGCAAACAGGAAAAGAGAGAGAAAGAGTAAACACATATGTTTACATTTCCACCAGAGAGACCGGCCCCTCCAGCACCTGCCTGTGATCCTTCACACACCTCTCGCTTTAATGTCACACTCAGACGGACACAATGATGAAGGCTCCTGCTGACTCGGTGAGAGACGCTTATGTTGAGGATACAGCTCGTGTGGCATACAAAACATCATAAATAAATCTCCTTCTTGTGCTCTGAAAGTCTAGCTATGGATAGTGGCAAAAAAGATGCAAATCCATACAAAACACAGAGATGCAAATAAGGCTTCAGGTAGTTTTAAACCGCATGAAAGGATCTGGCCTTATCCAGTATCAGTTGACCTGATTTAGCTAAGATTTCGAGTACTGCTGATGGGTAAACAACAGCCCAGCAAACGCAATAAATCACTCCGATGAGAGATACAGTACATGCAGTCATGCGGGTTTGGAACAACACAAAGGCAAAATCTAATGACAAAATCTTCACTTTTGAGTGAATTGTCCCTTTAAGGTCAAGCATTCTGGGTAATGTCTCTCTTAGGAAGTAAGACTGACTGTCAAACACTGAAAAAGGACAAAGACGTAAAAATGTGTAGTGCAGTCGTTACCTGAAGGAGATATTTTATTATATGACTTTTCTTGGTGCAACACAAAGTAATCAGATTGATTCTGTCATAACTTTTTTTATGTATAATATTTATAATCAAATGTATGTATGTACTGTATCTATTTATTTATTGAATTAATATCATTTTTAATTTATAATTTACATATTTTTGACGAATAAAAACAGGTAATTTAAATGTTATAACATTATGCACTTTTTTAGGTTACATTTTCATGGACGTGGTGAAAAAAAACACGAGATGGATTGTAAATAGAAGGATTGATTTATAGTTCAATGATTTTGCATTTGCTTGCAAAACTGCATTCTCTCATATAATATTTGCGTCCTCTTGTAAAACATTTGTGATCTTTCGCAAAACATTTGCATTTTCTAGCCAATTTTTTCCGTTCCCCCAAGAAACTTTACATTCTCTCACAAAACATTACTTTAACGCAACATTTGCATTTTCTAGCAAAATTTTTGCGGTGCCTTAGAAACTTTGCGTTCTCTCGTGAAACATTTGAAATCTTTTGCAAAACATTTGCACTCTCTCACAAAACAATTGTGTTTTCTAGCCAAATTTTTGTGTTCCCCCAAGAAACTTTACATTCTCTCATGAAACATTTGCGTTTCTCACAAAAATGTTTGCGTCCCACCAAGAAACTTTGCATTCTCCCATAAAACATTTGGGATCTTTTGCAAAACATTTCCGTTCTCTAACACAATTGTATTTTCTAGCAAAACTTTTGCCTTCCCTAAGAAACTTCGCATTCTCTCGTGAAACATTTGCAATCTTTTGCAAAACATTTGCGCTCTCTCACGAAACAATTGTGTTTTCTAGCCAAATTTTTGTTCCCCCAAGAAACTTTACATTCTCTTGCAAAACATTTCTCTAATGCAACATTTGCATTTTCTAGCCAAATTTTTGCGGTGCCTAAGAAACTTTGCGTTCTCTCGTGAAACATTTGCAATCTTTTGCAAAACATTTGCGCTCTCTCACGAAACAATTGTGTTTTCTAGCCAAATTTTTGTTCCCCCAAGAAACTTTACATTCTCTTGCAAAACATTTCTCTAATGCAACATTTGCATTTTCTAGCCAAATTTTTGCGGTGCCTTAGAAACTTCGCATTCTCTCGTGAAACATTTGCGATCTTTTGCAAAACATTTGCGTCTCTCACGAAACAATTGTGTTTTCTAGCCAAATTTTTGCGTTCCCCCAAGAAACTTTACATTCTCACGCAAAACATGTGTTATCTCATGAAACATTTGCCTTCTTTCACAAAATGTTTGCGTTCCCCCAAGAAACTTTGCATTCTCTTGCAAAACATTTGCGTTCTCTCTCAAAAGTGGTGTGTTCCCCGAAAAAGTTTCCCCAAAAGTTTTGCAAGTGAATGCAAATTTCTCAAAGGAATGCAATATATTTGCAAGAGAAAGCAAAAGTTTTGCAAGCAAACACAAAAGTGTTGAAATATAATCTTTCCTCCCATCACCATGTCCCTTCAGGGGCTCTGTACATTTTCACACTAAATAAAAGGTAAGGTAAAATTAGAACTCTCTGACAGGAATGAATTGTTATATATTTCATAAGGCATGTTTAGGATGCACAATACTTCCTCTTGGGGCAAAATTAGCAACCAATCACACAGTGTAAGACAATACACATATCTGGATTTGCATGGCACAATAGCTGGTTCACTTTGCTAAACAGTGTTTAATCACAGCTCTGACAACATGATATATTCAAAGCCTCGCTGTGAACCTAGTCTCACGAGATGTACAGACAAGACAGAGAGAGAAGGAATGTGTGTCAGTAGGAGAGAATGTCTCATTCACAGCTTCACCTCAATCCCATGGTGAAGACTCAATAAAACACCATCATGAATTTTTACCGGCACATTAAAGGGCCAGGCACTCATGAGAGGTACAGTACGCAGCTCTAAACACTTGAATAATGATGTCCCCTGTCATGCTTTAGTCGCTCTTTCCATTCACGACGCCCTCCTTAACTCGTTTGAAAGAATATTGCCACATAATGAAGTCACTGCCTCTGCATAATGCATCGTCGCGGAAAACGCACGTCTCTCCAGCTAAAGAGGATTAATATTAAAATTGACAGATCTGATGTGAGACCGTTAAACTAACACTTCAGATCAAATGTGCGTAGGAAAAGGGGGCATGCGCACACGTGAGGAAAAGAGCCTGTCAGAAGGCCGTCGCTGAGACATTATGGGAAATGTGTTCACCTTGTTTATTTGAACTTTGTACGGGGCAAATATAATGCATCCCTACATGTTTATACAAACTAATAATGCACTCTAAAGAGTGTTATGAGATTATGTTTCATAACAAGTGCATAAAAAAATATTGTGTTGCAGAGGTAATGGGTTATACAACTTTACAATGATATGAAACACTTATAACATCATTAAACGTTATATAATGCTAAACAGATCAGTAGTTAATGTTAATTAAAATATGAATATAAAAAACATACAAAAAAAGCACAGTGTACACATGTACACTCAATATTGAATATACTGATCTTTTGATAATTATATAAAATAAAATGTAGAAAAAAATATTTAATATTTAATGTATTAAACAGATTGATTTGGTCATAATAAATAATATATATATTTTTTTTACTTCACAAGGTTATAGATATAAACTACATATAACTAGATTTTAGACATATTTATATATAAATATATAATATATAATTATATTATAATAAATAAATATTATGTAGCAGAGGTAATTGGTTATTCATCTTTAAACACTTATTACATAATTAACATTTATGTAATGCTAAACAGATCAGTAGTTAATGTTAATTAAAATATGAATATAAAAACATTAAAAAAAAAACAATGTACACATGTATATTCAATGTTGAATATACCGATATTTTGATAATTATATAAAGTAAAATGTAAAATGTCAAAATCAGATATAGCTACTTACTTGAACCTTAAAAATATTTAATATTTAATGTATTAGACAGATTTGGTCATAATAAATACTTTTTTTTTTTTTACTTCACAAGGTTTTAGATATAAAACTACATATAACTAGATTTTATATATAATATTATATTATATCACAATAAATATATAATATAAATATATAATATATAATTATATAATAAATATTATGTTGCAGAGGTAATTGGTTATTCATCTGTAAAATGATATGAAACACTTATTAAATCATTCAAATTTATGTAATGCTAAACAGATCAGAAGTTCATATTCATTAAAATATAAACATTAAAAATATGGAAATAAAAGTTGCCATTTCTAACTATTTGAAGAAAAAATTTAGGTACTCATAATATTATATATATACACAACATACAATATTAAATATTCAATATTGAATATGCATGATTATCAACTGATCTTTTAATACTTCTTACTTTAAATTTTTAATACTACAAGTAAAATGCAAGACTGTGTATTTGCCTAATATAGACAGATTGAGTCATAAGAATTTTTTTTACTTCAATAGATTTTAGATAAAAAAAAAACTATATATAAAATATCTAAAACTAGATCAACTAAAAATATAAAACAATATTACATTATATTATATAAAAAATATATTTAGTGTATTTTTTGTACTTATGTCAAAGCACTTACCATCACATGTTTCACTGCGATTCTCTTCACTGTCAGACTCCATCTGGAAAGAGGAAAAAAAACACAGAAAAAGTTAATAACAAATAGCAATTTTCAATTTCAGAGATTTATAATCCTGTCTAATAACTCATCTCAACAGGATCTCATCATCAGAGTGACGGCTAAGTTCCTGTCAGTTTAGGCTATTAATAAGTATGCCAGATTAGTGTCATGCAAAGAGTTTATCGCATTGCACGCATTTTATTTGCGATGTTATTTCACAAACAGCACACGTGCACGGGGTCACAACTTCAGATCTTAAAACAAGAAAGTTTCAAATGACAGGATTACAGTAAATTACAGTAGTAAAAACCTAATCCAATCAATTCCGTGACTCCTGAAGCTTGCGATGAAACGTCAGCACAAGAAATGAAAGATATAAGTAAACTTTAAGACAAATAAAAAAGGGAAATTTTCACGCAGTAGATCAGGTCCATTACGTGCACTGTGTGGCGTGCTTTCATATTTAATTGACTTAGAAACTACAGCAACAAACTGCCAGCACACAGAGAACAGCCAGACAGGCCTTCACTTTTAAGAGGGTGAGACAGGGGCGAGCGCAAATATAATAATGCAAAAACAGCGAAACCAAACAAAAGTAGTAATGTGTGTGTGTTTAGACAAAAAGAGCTGTTAATACTGCAGCACCTACTCACTCTCCCTCTCTCTCTCTCGGTTTCTCTCTGCCAGCAGTGCCTTGCTGATCCCAAATAAAACCTATTAAATGTAATTATTCTGGGCTGATGGCGCTCTATAGCGGTCGGAGGGTCTGGTGAGCTCGGTGAGTCACTGGCTGGGCTGTTACTTCGCTTATAATGGGAAACATGACTCCTATCTCCCCTTCTCTCGGCTTGGCTGTTGTGATTGAAGCCACTGACCTGTCATACATTTATAATAGGGGGAGCAGGTGTGGCATTGATGGACCTTAATTTCCTTTAATAAACCTTTTATGTGGCCCACTCTTAATGCCACGCCGGCCCTCTCCCGGCTCCCGACGCGTAATAGCTTCATTACTTTTGATTACTGGGGGCCCCTATTGAGACAAACAACTCCCAAACACTATAGATTACATTCTGTAAAAACTAATGTACCTGATTAGTTCATTACACTCGCTCGCTCGTGTACACATAGACGCGCGCTAACACACGCCATGCCAGAAATGGCCCGCTGCTTCCGGACGGGCTTTTCTGAACACCTCTTGAAAGCCGAAACTATTCAAAACTGCGAGAGCCGGGTTTTGTTTCGTGATTTCGGTATTGTTTTGCTGTGAGAGTGAAAATAAATCTTTTATTAGCCCGACAAGCACTGGGGTTTATTGTAACAAAGGGTACGCAGATTTCCAGGCTTACGTAATTTGATATTCCGGATATTCTGAGCGGAAACTTTGACATGAGGAGGAGAGAGCGATTAGGTCAACAGCTGGCTGCTAACAATCTCTTAAATTACACCGTCACCACCTTGCAAAACCAAACCATATGTCAACAAGCTCCGAGAACCTCAGGTAACAAGTCAGTTTCAACCTAAACAACTTTGTAAATGATGGCACGAGTGGTTCCAAAGCCAAATCACAAACTAGCTTCATAAGACTTACAAAGTTTGAGTTTTAATATACTAGAATTATTTCTGCACAAGCTAAACTTTTAGAACATTGTCAGAAAACTAGAATAATCAAGTTTATTCATATTTAATAATATATTTGATTTGAATAAAACCGGTTAATTTAAAATGGAGCACATTTATGTTTCTGAACAAACTATTTTTGTGTTGTACAGGTACAATAATTTTTAAATGATTATGCATCACATAAATATGAAAAATACACAAAAAATTATTTATACTAAAACTTTAGCAAACAAAACATTTTAATAGATATGCACTTAAAATGGAAATCAAAAACCGTACAAGTTATTTCGAAATAAAATAAAATAAAATAAAATAAAATAAAATAAAATAAAATAAAATAAAATAAAATAAAATAAAATAAAACAAAACAAAATAAAATAAAATAAAAGTATTCAGAATGGCTACTGGATGAATTTACTACACGTATTTATGCATTCAAAAACTGCCAATTTTAAAACAACAGATGTTGCATCCAACATGTTTAACTGTTTGGTGCTATACTTTTATATTTTCATAAATGATTATGCAGCATATAAATACACACAAACATGAAAAATAGAGGTGATTTAATTTGTAAGTCCTCAAAATGATATGTATATAATAACATACAAAACAAGAATGTTTAAACTACACATGTATGTGTGAGATACTCTGACTGAATCAATGGCCAACATATATACTCTACAGAAACAATAACTAATTTTACCTTAGTTTGTTTGGCCTGTAATGATTAAGATGTTCTGCGAGGTCCCCACGGGCCGCTCCGGTTACTGCACACACGTTTCTTCAGCTGTTCTAAGATGTGAGTGTGACATTCATGCTCTGAGGACAAAAAATTACATAAGATGTCAGTGACAACTTGAATTACGCTTGAGGTGTTTACAGAGTATTTTTGAATCGCTAGTGTGAAATTTTTACTTAAGTCAAAACATGTTCACAAAAACATAGTGGTTATATGGACATTTCTGATTAATGACACACTGTAAACATTCAAATGTGCATTTTTTACTATAAAAAGCTATTTGTACTTGTTAAAAACCTTAAATAATACGATTAATGATACACTGTAAAAACATGCCGTTTCAACGCTAAAAGCAATTTCTATCCGTTAAAAATCACTATAACTCAATGCATTCAGGTTGTTTTAGTCATATTAAATAATATGAGTAACACACCGTAAAACGTGCCATTTTTTACTAAAAAAATTTATTTCTACATGTTTAAAAATCACTAGCATAATACACTCAGATTGCTTTAGTCAAATTAAATAATATGATTAAAGACACACAGTAAAACATGCTGTTTTTAGTCTAAAAGGTGATTTTTTACCTGTTAAAAATCACTAACTCAATGCACACAGGTTGCTTTAGTCATATTAAACAATATGATTAATAACACACTGTAAAACATGAAAATGTGCCGTTTTTAGTCTAAAAATAGATTTCTATCTAAAAAAAATTACTATAACTTATTGCACTAAGGTTGCTTTAGTTATATTAAATATGAAATATTAAAAAACACTGTAAAACATTAAAACATACTGTTTTTACTCTAAAATGCTATTTCTACCTGATTTGACTCACTATAAAAATAGAAACCACTCAATATAGTCAGGTTGCTTTAGTTGCTTTCGATATATTTAGGTTACAGTTCACTCTGTTTAAAAGACCCACAGTTCGTTTTTTTAATTAACTTCCGCTTGGAAGACTACATGTAGGAGTTGTTCGGATAGAAACACTAACTGTGAACGTTTCAAACCGCGCCGTTGAGAAACCTGGGAGCGAATTAACAGACAAGACCTCATGTGGCTTTCTTAACAAGATGCAAATTGATTGCTTGACAGAAATCAAATAGCTTGTGTGTAATTAATATGGTTAATCCGGGAAGAGTTTTGTGTGATTGCGCGCATCGGGACAATTTAAACGCTGCGCCATACAACGCCTGAGCTCCGCTATTGGTGAGCCATTCATGCCTGTTGGCTTTGAGAGAGAGAAAGAGAGAGCTTTGTGTTAATTATGGCTAAAAACTCCCAGCATCTTTTGCACCAACCCCCCCCCCCCCCCCCCCCCCCCCCCGCCGG